ATTTGTTACAAATTAAAACATTAAAAACTTTTTGACAAATTATTATTATTATTATTATTATTATTGATTTATTTATTTATTTATTTATTCAAATCTAATTGAAATAATATTTTAAATATTTCAAATAATATTAAACATTACAATATACATAAAGTTATTATTAGTAAATAATATTAAAAAAATAAGATAAATAAAACTAAATATAAATTTTATATCTCATCTAACGGGTCATTGATATCGTTAATAATTATTTTCATTATTAACTATAATATCTTATTATAGATAATATAATATAACAAATTGATAACAATATATATATATATAATTGTTGTCTAATATATTGCTGATTCAATTGATAATCAATTATTAGTTTACTATTGAATAAATAAAATACTTGTATTTTACAATACATTACAATACAATGGTATTAAAAATGTCATTAAATTTTTATTATTAGCCAAACAATTAATATATATATATATACTGTAGTTGAGGTCAAAGATAGTTATTGATGATTATATTATTATTATTACTTAATTATTATCAATATTTTATTATAACATCTATTAATATATTACTAAAGATATCATATAATAATAATAATAAAACACAATTTTTATATAAGTTTTATTATAATTTAGTTAATAATAAAAACTTAAAATATCGATAATTAAATACTGTATCAATATTAATAGTTTATATATATATATATAATTAAAATTTTTTAAAAAAATTTTGGTAAAAAAAATTATTATTAAGTAATTTTATGAATAATATCATGAGTTTGTGGTAAAAATATTTATTTATTTAAAAAAAAAATAAATATATCTATATATCTATCAATATATGTAAATCATGTTTTTTTTATTAAATACTAAATTGTTATTTTAGTTTTATTTAATTGAACAAAATTACTATTAAATAATATAGCACTTTGTATACAACAACAAAAAAACAAAAAAAAAGTATTAATAATATACATCATAATAAATCATAATAATGTAGATTAATAATAATAATAATAATAATAATAATAATAAAAAATTTAAAATCACGACAATATATAGTAAAAAAATAATAAACATTATATAAATTTTTGTTGTATATTATATTTTATAGTATTATATATAATGATTGAAATATATTTAAAAGCGATTTTTATCACACAAATACCTTGACCGTGATTTTTAATAAATAAATAAATAAATAAACAAAAAATTCAAAATAACTATTGTTTTAATAGTTCACTATTTTAATATATATATATAAGTTTATATATATATATATACTGATAAATAGATATAGTATATTAAAATCAACAAAAAAAAAATTTTTTTGTTATGTATTGTTGTTATCTATATATTGTTTATATACCTATAATATACAATCATAGGTGCTATTTATCATTACTGGTGATAGAAATCTGGACTTTAATTATGTATTTAAATATATTTACAATATATATATATATATATATATATGTATATATATATATAATTACTAACAACACACACATACATAAAAAATAACTAACTGTCCCGATAAATATGATATAATTTGCTATATATATATGTATTTGTTGTTATAAGTTATAAGTTTTTTTAGAGATAGATATCATAGTAACCACACATTATTGTATATAATATATAATAGTTTTAAAAATATATAATTTTTTTTTAAAAATACTAAAACAAAATTTTTATTGTTTCCCTTAACAGCAATAGTATTATTATTATTATTATTTATTATTATTATCTAAACAACTAACAATATATTGTATATATATATATATATTATGTATACTATTTTTATTATTATAATATACAAGTATATAATAATAATAATAATAATACTGATAATGAATTATGCAAAAATAAATATATTATATAAATTTATATATATATAATATAAATATAATAGAAAAACATTATATATTTTAAATATCAAAAAATAATAATAATAATGAAAAAAATAAATATTTTTTATATTTTAATGATATTTACACGAATTTTTCTATTGAGATTATATATATATATATATAGTAAACAAAAAAAAATCATATAAAAGACACACAAAAAACAATATAAATAATAATACAAACAAATGAAAAAAAACAATATTTGAATTCATAAATCAATGTATGCTATCATATATATATAATATGTTATATAATATATATATATATATATAATATATACAGTATATAAACCTAAAGAAAATATAAGGATATCTCTCTTTCTTTTCAAAAAAAAAATTGTATTAAAAATGAGATCATCTCTCTCTCTCTCTCTCTCTCTCTCTCTCTCTCTCTCTCTCTCTCTCTCTCTCTCTCTCTCTCTCTCTCTATTAAAAAAAAATTCAATGCCAATAACACAAAAGAGGATCTCTCCTAAAAAAAATAAAATAATATATTAAAATAAATTTATATACAGTATATATATATACAGTATATATAAATAATAGACTAGAAAACCACTTTTTACTGGTATTCAAAAAAAAAATTGTGATACAAATTAAAACAAAATAAAACATAACTATTATATACTGTACTGTATTATATAAGAGGGCATTGAAAATATAGTGCAAACATACAAAAAGTTTTTTTTAATAATATTAAATGGGATATACATTAATAATAATAATAATAAACCAGTTAATCCCCATACAAACACACACACACATGCACTTGTATGTATTATTAAAGGGCACGTTTAGTTTTTATCTAACTATTTTAGGGTACCTGTGCTCTGATATATACTGTTTATTTAAGTATATGTTTTATATATACTGTATATACCCTTCCAATTTAGGTGACCTAATGTTACAATTATCTCTCTCTCTCTCTCTCTCYCTCTCTCTCTCTCTCTCTCTCTCTCTCTCTCTCTCTCTCTCATCTATCTATCTTTCAAATCAAATCTAACTGAGCCGCGCGCACCCCGTTATATATGTTTGGATACATAATAATAAAATTGGATACATTGACACAGTAAACAAAAAAAATTTAAGATACCGGGCCATCAAATACAACAACAACAACATTGTTGTTGGTTAGGGATATATATAATATATTGGGCCACAACTCTCTAAACTGTTTTATTTTCAACCATCACCTCTACTATTAAACAACATTTTTTAAAAAACCTTTTTATTTAATAAAACAGTTATATTATATTTGAAAATAATTTTCTTTTAAAGTTTCTTATAATAAACTAAAAAAATAAATAAGTTTTTATTTTCTTCTAAAAGTTTAATAATAATTTTTTGTTAAATAATAATAATAAATATATATATTTATTAAATATATATAAAATAATAATAATAATAATAATATGAGTCAAACAACGATATCAACATTTATCATCATTTTTGTCATTAGCTTTATCTGTAAGTATTTATTGGTTATTATTATTATTTAAAAAAATATATTTATATATATATATATATACTAATCAGATATATATATATAAATAATAATAATTATTTTTCATAATATTGAAATATATTTAAGAGTCAATTTTGTTTTCCTAATAATTTTGTATTAAAAATATAAAACAAAATTATTATTATTTATTATTAATATTTATTTTTTTTTGTTTGTGTATATCTTCCTACTCAATAAAAATTATTTTTTCTTTAAAAAATATTGATAATATTTTTAGATAACTTTTTTTAATATATATATATAATTCAATTTTTATTATAACATTATTATTATTAATATTATTATATTTTTTTAAATTTAAGTAGTAGTAGCTATTTAAAAGGGTTGTTAAACTTTTTTTGTATAATAAAAATTGAATACTTATTATATATATATATAATATAATGATGACATAAGTTATCTTTTATGAAATAAATTATTTTAAAGTAAAAAATAATAATAAATAAAATTTTTTTTATTTATATTAGAGAGAAATGTTAATTCTTGGAAAAATAAAATAAAATTTATGTTATTTTTTCTATTTTTTAAAAAAAATTAACAATTTTTTAAAGTGAAATAATTTTTTATTTTCAGTAAAATTATGTTTTGCCAAAAAATTTTCCCCAAAAAAATATATACAGTTATAATATGCATATAAATATTTTTAAAAAAAATTATTATTATTATTATTACTGATGTTATTTTGACTAAAAACTTTATGTCATTAATAATAACAATAATATTAAATGAGAGAAAAATTAAAATAAAATTAATACTAATTTTACTTATAGTATAAAATATATTACAAAATAAATTAGAAAATAATTTTATAAAATATATATTATATTTGAAAAAATTTAATTTTTTTTTGAATATAGTTTCTAAACTTACACTCATTTTTTAAATAAAAATAATTTATTATTAAAATCAATAAAAAAATATATTGAATGTATAAATAGTTAATAAGATTTTAAAAAAATAAATAAAAATGTATATAAATGTTCACTAAAAATAATAATAATAATAATAATTTATTACCTAGATAATCATCGTAATTATTATTATTATTATTTTTTTATATATAGTATATACTACTAGTACTGTACTTATATAGCAAAAAAAATTACAGTAAATTCACAGTAGTGTAGTGACACCTAAAGTCAATAAAAAAATACTAAAAAAAATTATATTAATTAATAGTAACAAAAAAAATAATAAAATAACTTCAAATAAATCATAATAATTAATATATATATTATAATCTATTATATAATACCAGTATAGATAAATCAAGATTATCAATAAGCCATTAATAAATTTTTTTTATTAAAAATAATAATAATAAAAATCTAAAAATAGTTAACTATATATATATATATATTATCACATATTTTTAATTATTTTAATTTTAATTTATAATATATATTTATTTTTAGCTAATAATTTATAAAAATAAATAAAATTTAAATATTCATATATTAAATGTTTCTATTATTTTTTTCTCCCCCCCCTTCAAAACAATCATAATTACCGTTATAACCCCACACCATCTAACCCTAACCTACCCCCACTATGACATCTAACCCTACCCCAACCCATCAACCATACAGATGATACCGGTGCCATACAAGAGTACAGGGCCTGCGAAAACTCGTTTCAATGTACAACCTTTTGCAGTGCCAAAGGTTTCAACGATCGGGTATGCAAAACGATAACCGTCGACGAAAGCTCCAACATTGACGGCTCACAATTGGTTAATAGACGGGTCTGCCTGTGCAGCGATACCAGTAAGTAATGGTAGTGGTGGTGGTGGTGGTCAGCCCACACCCACCCACCCCAACCCGAAAAAAAAATTAATTGCTACCGTATTTATACTGTATACATACATACTATACTGTATATACAATTAGAAATAGCTATTTGCCATAACATTGTTTTGTTTTTTTTGTTGTTGAAATAGTATTATATATATATATAAAAAAAAACTATATTTAAGTTATGTTAAGGTTTAACCTCTAATACTGTATTTTTTTTTAAAAAAAAACATACATTTAAAAAAATATTTATTACACTTATTATTAATATTAGTAGTATTACTTAATGCCCATAAAAACTAATAATTTCAAATGTAATTCAATAATTCAATGTTTGTTTAGTATATATATAGTTATTATTATATAACTACTGTATATAAATACAATACAACATTTCCAGACAACTGTATAAACAATTTTTTATAGTTGTATTGATACAAACATATAGTAATAAATTATAACAATTATTATTTCAAATATTAAATGTCTGTCAAACAATCCGGGTTAGGGTTTGTTGTCTAACTGTCTATCTAACTGTCTATCTAACTGTTTATCTAACTGTCTAACTATCTGTCTATTTAACTGTCTATCTAACTGTCTATCTAACACTGTCTATCTAACTGTTTATCTAACTGTCTAACTGTCTATCTAACACTGTCTAACTATCTGTCTGTCCCTAACTATTTTTAGAGGAAGGATACGCTGGAAATCCATCTACTGGTGAATACTTTCCCTATTGGTTTAGTCCGGGACACGAATGTATACGCAATGGTAGCGATAGACAGTGTAAAGAGTATTGCAAACGGATCCGTATATCAGCCGATAGTTGCGAGTGTCGGCTAAGTTCGTGTAAGTTTCCCAAACGCTTGCTAACTGTCCCCCAGTCACTCAACTTACCCTAAAAAAAATCATCAAATATCGACCTCCCGGTGCTGTATTGAGTCCACCATTGAGTGTATGTATAGATGAAAATAATTGTCAAACAAACAAACAAACAAAAAAATCAAATATTATTTTTTTCATATAACTTTTTTTCATATATATATCTCATTCATATAAATATATATATATATATAAAGTTTAGATTTATTATTATATAACACTATTTATAGTATTTAAATATAAAAAAAATTAATAAAATAATAATTATATATATTTTTAGGTCTAGTTTTTTTTGTTTTGTTTTATTTGAATTTAATATAAAAATTATATTATTATTTTTTTGTGATTATTATTATTATTATTATGTAGTTTTGTTGTCACATTTTTTTTGTTGTTGTAAATTATAATTAATTTCTACACAATATATTTTAATACTTATATATTATTGTTATAACAATTTTAATAATTATATAAAAATAATTTTTGCTATTACACCAAAATCATTAAATATATATATATATATATATACAGTATTTAGTTAATATTAATTAGTTAATACATAGTTAATATATAATTATTTTTTTGGGCACATTTTTTAAAACAAACAAACAAACAAAATAAGTACACAAAAAAAACTATATATATATTTAATTAAAAAAACATATAAAAATTATTATTTATTTATATATTGTATTTATAATAATCGAAATAAATTTTTATTATATCAAAATAAAATTATTATTATTATTATTTTCATACAAAAATTATATCAAATAATAATTATAATAGTAATGAATTACTTATGAATTTATTTTCGCTTTTATTATTTTTAATATTTTAGTTATCAAATAATTATTATATTTTCATACATACACTATATAATGACTTTCATAAATATTACAAATTTTTATTTTTTTGATTTAATTACTAATAAATTTGGTAAACACAATGATATTCAATAATTTTTCAAAAAAATAAATAAATTTAACATTTCATGTTATTATTGAATAAAAACATTTTTATATTTACTGAATCATTGTTATAATACTAATTATTATATTAATTATACAGTAAAACAAATACTAAAATTTAAAAAAATATATTATTAGTTATTATTATATTAATTAAATAAATATATAACTAATTAAATTTGATTTTATTGATTTGGCAAATAATGGTATTAATTTTTTAATAAATTAAAATATTTAATATAACTAAAGTCTATCAATAAAATCTAAATAATAACATTAAATTAATTTTCTATTAGCAAAAATTATCTAGGTTATTGTCAAGGCTAAAAATAAAATTATATTAAATATAAATAGCAAATTCAAAAAATATTTTTTTATCTAATTAATAATAATTTTAAAAAAAAAATATTAAATTAAAATTATTATTATTATTACTAATTTCTTAATTAATTACAAAATTTATCTATTTTGATGATCATTACAGGGGGTAAACATTATATGATATATTTATATTATTAGGTAATTGTGGGGTAAAAAACTGTATGTAATTGTCTATATATACGGTATATATATATATATAAGTAATCAAACAATTGTATAAATAAAATATATTTAATTTTTTGTTGGTCACCTTATCTAAAAAATAAAAAAAATAAATATTATAATACTTTAATAATAGTTTAAACCCTTCCTTATTGAGAGAGAGAGAGAGAGAGAGAGAGAGAGTTCATTGTTCATGAAAATAATAATTTATTAAAAATAATGTATTAATAATAATAATAAAAAAAATATTTATTTTTTTTTTTGAATTGAATTGATAATGAATTGCAATAATATTATTTAGTATATTATATATATATATATATATATATTGAATATATAAAGAAAATAAAATAAAAAATAATATATAAAATCCATACACAGCTAATGGCTTTTACTGTATATATGTATTACATAAAAAAATATCTATAGTTTAGATCTAACCTTCAATTTAATTTTTTTTTTTGAAAAACTAGTAAATCCTTACTCAACAGGATTTTTTTGAAAAAGCATTTTATATATGTTTTTATATTATTATTATTATTATTATTGAAAAAAATTTGTACATATATTAAATATTTGGTAAAATCTCATTTACTGTATATATATATGAATCTATAAATATCTGTATAATAAAAAAACTACAGTTATTTTTAAATAATAAATACATAGCAATCTAGTTATATATATATATATATATATATAAAATATATAAAATGTTGTCTCAATTTACCTAATCCTACCTAAGCTTAGCATTATATATATATAAATATTATATTATATATACAGTAATATAAACTGTATTTTACTGTATCATCAATTTTATGATTCAGTATAACTATAAAAATAAAATATATTCAAAATTTTTAATTCAAAAATAATGTTTTTTATTATTATTATTATACAGTGTATATATTATTAATTGAGGGGAACGCCCTATAAAATAAAATTTATAATAAAAAAAATAAATAAAATTACTTTATCAACACATAAAAAAACTGTTTAAATTATCATTATATTGATGATATACATAGAAAAAATGATTTTTTTTATAAATTTATTATTTTTATATATATATAGATAAATAAATGAGAATTTTTTTTTATTGGTATTATACTTATCGATAGTTTTCTCTATCAAACAAATAAAAAAAAATTTCAAATAAAAACATTTTAAAATAAAAGTTTATTTTTTATACTTATAATACCTCATCAACAAAAAAAAACATTACAATATAAACTATACATTAAAAAAATAAATGATTATTTTTATTATTATTATTTTTTTGGGTGTATTTTTGCGGTCAATTTTTGCGGATATATATATATATATATACTGTATATAATATAATAGACTACTATCTAATAGTGTGCGGTAATTATCACTTAATTTTTATTGTTGTTTATTATTAGTTAAATACCTGTTATTTTTTTGTTGTTGCTATTGATTATATACATATACATACAGTTTTGAGCCCATTGTTTAGTATATATATATATATGTATATAAAATAATATATAAAAAAATAAATTAAAAATAAAAATAAATACTATTTAAACGGTTAAAACCAGACATTTTTGAAAATCACGACATGAGTGATGAGATTTTTTATTTAAAAATTTGTTTTTTATTATGAATTTTGTATTTAAACAATAATAATAATAATAATAATAAAATAAATTGTAATTAAATGCTAAATATATTACTAAATATAATATAGTATTATTTTTTTTTTTGGATGATTTTGTTGTAATTAACATATAGTTTGAATTGAAAAATAAATAAATATTTCTCATTTGTTATAATTTTATTTATTTTTTTAGAAAATAAAAATAAATTTCAATGTTTATTAACTAATTTAGAGGTTATTTTTTTATGTATAGATATTATTATTATTATTATTAGAAAATTATATAATATTTATATGTATTTTCAATATTATTTGAAATTGAATATATTAGTTAACATTTTTTTTAAATACATTGTTATTATTATTCAAAATTATTTAATAGTATTTTTTTTAATTGAAATAACATTTAACTACACAGTTATGTATATATATTTTTTTAAATATAATATTCAGTAATAATCACTAAATTGTAATGAATTGAACTAAACTGTAAAAAAAAAAATTTGAACTGCAATTTGTAATTAAATTACTAAAAATACAAATATTTTTGTTACTATTTGTTTATTTAATAATTTTATATAATCGTTCAAAAAAAATTTTACTAAATAAATATAAAAAAAAATTGTTACATAAGCCTACAAATTGTAGTTATTATTATTATTATTATTAATTTATTTATCTAATAAATATCAATTTATTTAAACGTTTATTATGGCATAAAATTTTTTTATCAATATAAATTTTCAAACTTATATATAATATATATATATATATATATATTAAAAATAGGATACTAGATGACTCTATAAGTTCAATGTTAACTTATCAACAAGGTAATATATATATGATAAATATTTTTGAAAATAAAAATATTATTGATTTAAATTAATTAAAAAAGTAATTTATAATAATTTATTTGATTAATAAACAAAAAAAAAATGCTAAATATGTTAACTAATATAATTAAAATATATTACATTTAAATTTTCATTAAAATTAATACTAATTTATTATCAAAAATAAAAAAATTAACTGTACTTTAAATATACAGTATATTAATGTATGTTTCAAAAAAAATCAAATAAATTAATTAAATAAATTTGCATTATTGTTAATAGTGTAAAAAATAATAATAATATTATAATTAATTAATTATTTAATAAACATGTTGTCAATAAGCAATGAACTTTGTATTCAATGAAATTTTTATCGCATATATATATATATATATATATATATATATATATATATGTATAACAGTTTATAATTGTATACCTATTTATTATTATTATATCGGTTATCATTGCAAATAGCAAATAATAAGTTAGTAATAATAATAATAATAATAATAATAATTTGCTAAATACTTAGATTTTTATTTTGCTTTATATAAATTATACTATACTATAACTTATATATATATATTAGTTAAATAATACAAAATTTTTATCGCAATTGAATTGAATTGTATGTAATTGTTTGAAATTGAAATATATATATTACAGTAAACACCAGTATATTTGTATTGCATTTTCAAATACATGATAAAAACTTTTTTTACACATACAGTACAACTCATACAATATAAATCCATGACAACTATTATTATTATTATAAATTAAAAACATAAAATTAATTTTACAAAAATTTTAAGTATTTATTTATTTATATTTTAAAAATCTATTTATAAAATTTTATAAAAAATAAACTAATTTTTAAAGTAATTAATTAATTAAATGAAAAACATAGAAAATTAAATTATTATATTAAATAAATTATTAAATAATATTATTTATAATATAATAATTATAAATTTAAATATGTGTATTTTTAAATAAACAAAATAAAAATTAATTACTAGTTATCATACTTACAATATATTAATTACAATAATATAAATTAATACTTATTATACATAATAACCTATAATATCAATAATATTAAGTATTAATTAATCATAGCTATTATTAATTAATGATAAATAATATTAATTGAAATTATTACTTAAAAAATAAAATAATAATAAATCTTTTATTATTAATATAAATACTTTTACTTCCGATTTGATAATTTTAAATAACAGTTATAATAATAAATAGGATTTTCAGTAAATCTCTCAAATAAATGATAAAAAAAAATTTAATCTCTAAAAAATATTTAATGAAATAAATAATAAAATATCTAATAATTTACTCATAATTTCCGGTCGTCTATAAAAAAAATTATATGTTTTTATTTCAAATATAATATACAATACCTGTATATTAACAATAAACTAATTTTTTTATATACTGTATATATAGTACTATAAATATATTATCATTTTATATTTTATTAGTAATAAATAAATCGTATTGTAGTCATAATAATATCATTGATTTTTTTATACAGTATATACCTGTATATAGTTTTTCACATTTTTACTTTTATATTATAATAATCAACAACAAAAAAATATATATATATATTTAAAGAGAGTACTTCAATATATCAATTTTATTTTTTTTATTTTATTTGATATAATTGTAAATATAATGGCATTTATTATTATTATTATTATTACTTAAAGATAACATACATTCCTATGTATGACAAACTAGTGTTTCAAATAATTGTTTGTTTCATTCAAATATCAATTGAATTCCCATTTAATTATTAATAAATTATTTCATAATAAAAATTAGTTTATAATAGTTTCTATGTATTGCAAACAAATTGCCAAACATTAAAAAAAATAAATAAAATTAATATCAAATTTTATTTTTAGTGTACAATCATATATGTAAATTAAAAAATTAAAAAATTAAAAAATAATCAAGCAACATAAATAAATTTTTCTATACAACATATACAAAATTATATATATATATAAACTGTATATATACCTATCTATTATATAAAATAAAAATATAACATAACTGTTCCCGGGAATGGGATTGTCAACACAAACAAACAAACAAAATTACAATTTCTATAATACATACATAAAAATTATTTTTTGTATTTAATTTTCTTGATATTGTTTGGTAAAGGCCTATATATTAATATATATATATATATATATAATTTAAGATATTATTATTTAATATTAAAAATATGTTATCAGTTGGAAATATACTGTTTTTATGACAAATAAAAGTCAATATTAAAGTGAAATATATATATATATTAGTGACAATAACTGTTGGTAAGTGGAAATAATGATAACAATTATGATTATGACTGTTATTATTAATATTATTAAGGTATTGGCTGTTAGTATATGTATAAGTATTGGTATAGTAATGGTATCACTATTGGAGGCACTCTTTATAATAGATATTATATACTGTATTAACAAAATATAATTACTTTTAACAAACTTTTTGCTAATTTTCTATATATATATATTTCATTATATTTTCGTATATTATTATATACTATATATTATTATTTTTTGTGTGTGTATTATGTGATTGCGCTGTAAAAAAGCAAAAAAAATTATTATTACAACTATTTTTTTATATATATATATAGTTATAGTTGTTATCATCTATTATTTCACTTAAAGATATAATTTTCTCATATATTATATATATATATATAAATATATAGTTGAAAATAAACCAAATCATTTAACTAACAGCCATTAGGGTGTGGTTAGTATTATTAGTATTAATAATTATAAGTAAAATCACACAAAAATTTATTATTATTATTATTAAAACGTTTTAATTTGTGTGATATTAACAGTATTTAGTGATTCATTGAATACACAATTCATTGACAAAAAATATTTAACTAACAGTTTATAACCGTTTTATTATTTTTTTAAATAGTAATTTAAATTTTAAGTTTTAACTATACTATTCGTGATTATTATTATTATTTAATTAATTAATAAAAAACAAATAATTAACCTGGATAATGTAAAGTTTCTCATCAATATACATAATTATATACTTATTGAGAGTTAATTATATATAAAACCACAACAACAAAAATAATGGGAATAAAAACTTTAAAATGTTTGAATACTATTCAAACATTTAGACCATTGTCTACTACATCCTCATCCTCATCATCACTATCATCCTCATCACAATCAGCATCACTATTGTCATCAAACAACAAACTAATTATATCAATCATATTAATTATACTATCATTTTGGACATCCATAAGCTCAGCGCAAACAAATTTGAACCGACAAAGTCCGCCCCGACAGGGACAGGGTATGTATATAGGGAAAGGGTGGGGGGGGACTGACCTATAAAAACAAACAAACTTACAATAATAATAATAATAATTAAACAAACAATTTTTTAGATACATTTAAAAAAAAATTAAATTAAGTTTTTTATAATTAGTTTCCATCAATCAAACAAAAAACTTTTAAATTATATTATAGTGTATTAATTCAAAAAAAAAACTATTATTATTATTATTATAAGCAACTAATTAGTAATAGAGAGGGGAAATAAAAATTTATTTATTTTTTGAATTATTATTAACTAATATTACACTAATATATCAAAATATTTTCTAAACATACTAATCATTTTATTTTTTATTTTTGTTTTTTTTAATTAGCACCGGTATTCATACCGGGAAATGCCCGACCCATACAACCGCAAGGACCGCAAATATTGGGCGATTTGCTGGCCTTTCGCCAGGAGCTTATGTATCCGTATAATTTGAGCGATTTTACTGAGATTACATCAGCCAAACCCATTCATGACCAGCCCCTGCCGTTTAGGCTACCGTTTTTCGGTTTCTACTATCACTATATATGGGTAATAATAATAATTATAATAACCGAAAATAATTGATTACTTGAATTACAGTATTTTAAACTATTTAAAAAAAAAATTTTTGTTTTTGAAGTATTAATATCCATAAACTTTAATAATAATAATAATAACTTAATATCTATACAATAATAATAAAACAATAGACTATTAAAAAACTAATCACTCATTTAAATTACATTACACACCCGCTTATCCATTAAAAAACCCACCACTAAACTGACCACAAAAAAAATTACAGTTATATATAGGGAATCGTTAGATATTATTTTTTTTTAGGTACAGGTGCTTGAAATCTTTTAGTGATTCATTATTTAAATTAATAGATTATTTTTTTGTTGTTCAATATTTAAATTGTTATTTAATAACAATAACAACAACAAAATTTATTAAAATATTATTAATATTTATTAATAAATTTGATATACAGTAAGTCTATTGACTTTTTTAAAAATATGTTTTATAAAACATATTACCTGTAATTTTCTATAAAAAAAAATCAATTCAATCACTCATTTAAATCATATTTTATTATTTCTTTATGTTTTTGCAATTAATTTAAGTCTATATATAGACTGTAAAATAATAGTACAATAATTTGTAATAAATATTTTAGTGATATTTTTATGTTTGTTGAAACAAAAATAAGTTAATTATCAATACTGTAAATATATATTGAATTTTTTAAAACAAAAAATACATTTAAAAAAAACAAAAAACTTTTTTTCACAACAATAATACTATTAAATATCTATTAATTAACACTTTTTTCTCTCTCTCTCTATCATAGATCCAAAGGGATGGCTATCTGGCCTTCAATAAGGGTCTCCTATCGTATAAGTTTCCGCTTAATTTCCCAGTCAATCCCAAGGACAGCCTACAAATGGAAGATCCGTCGATTATAGCCCCGTGGTTTGCCCTACAGGACATACCTACCGAAGTACCCTATGCCGGGGTATACCTGAAAATCGTTAACATCGAAAGCGAACTCAATACAACCCTAAGGGATAGGATTATATTGGACTTCCGGGAGGGTATGATAGGTGCGGCCGATTTTACACCAAAATTTGCATTGATTATAACCTGGCGTAATATGACCGTGGTCAATAGGCGACCAGAAACACCGCTAGTGGTAAGTGTAGTGTGCCGTCACTCCCCCCACCACACCCTCCTAATTACCCTAACAAATAAATTAGGATATACCCCCCCCCCACACACACACCCATCAAAATACAAAAAAAACTTATTTAACATTTTGTATCCTAACTTAACCCCCCCTCTCCATCTAATAAAAAAATAGACAAACACCTACCAGTGCGTAATAGCCACCGATGAGATGCGGACGTACGCCATGTATAACTACGACCAGATCCAGTGGATCACCCATCAGGACAACTACGAAGGCCTGAAAGGATCGGCAGCCTATGTAAGCACTCGTAAACAATCAAATAAACAATTTAAATCAATGGACAGTTAGATATTGACCTAACCTACTGTTTGTTTCCTAATTTACTAATTTATAGGTTGGTTTCAATGCCGGCAACACTACCCGTACGTTTGAGTTTAAGCCCTATTCGCAGAACCCGCGTATATCCTATCTGACCACCCGGGGGTGGGGTAACAAACTTAGGGGCCGATATTTTTTCCAAATAGACGAAGAGGTATGGCCGGGGGCGTGCATCGAAAAAGATCTGGACCCCAATCTACCCGATCGGTTACCGTTGACTTTTTTCCCGCGTGTCGGCTCTATGTTGGGCGGAACTCTGGTCAACTTTACCGGCCCGTGCTTGCAGCCTACGAGTATCATAACGTGCAAGTTTGAAAATTTTATAGTACCCGGCATATTCAGGGACTTCAATCACGCAACCTGTATAACACCGGCAGTTATGTGGCACGGTTATGTCGATTTGTCCATTACAGTAGATGATAGGACACTATTTTTGGGTCATTTCTATATACGTAAGTGTGCCCATACATATACATGCACACACACATACACATACACATACACATACACATACACATACACATACACATACACATACACATACACATACACATACACATACACATACACATACACATACACATACACATACACATACACATACACATACACATACACATACACATACACATACACATACACATACACATACACATACACATACACATACACATACACATACACATACACATACACATACACATACACATACACATACACATACACATACACATACACATACACATACACATACACATACACATACACATACACATACACATACACATACACATACACATACACATACACATACACATACACATACACACACTCAGCAACCTAACTGTGCATCAATGCACTAAATATAGTATTTTTGTTAAATTGATTTTTGATCTAACTGTTCCCATCCAACCCACCCCTCATAGAACCTCCCGATATAGCCAACGATGATATTGTAGTACTGGGCGATACCGATCGCCTGGAGGAACCGTTATCCATGGAAGTCAAATGGAAACCAACTAAACTGGCCTGGGATGACAATGCCCGGGTAACCCTATCGCTATGGGGCTATCGTGAAACATCGGATGTCTACCCACACTTGACATTCATCGATAATATTGGTGATGTCGGTGCCTACCGACTCGGCCAGATTAGGGCACTGATAGATCCGGCAACGTTCAGGGATCGCCGTAATTATGGCCTAACCGATATTACCTACGGTTTCCTAGGCTTGAATCTAACTGATCCGACAATACTGGGCAAAGAGATCAAACAGTCGCCGATGATCTGGTCCCGACCGATGCCGATTGCCTGGTATTTCAAGCGCCAGTATGAGCGCGAGTATGGAGAAGCTGGGCGATGGAAGGAACATTTTTGTCATAATTGGTTTCAACAGGAATCGTATGCCGATATGTTTGCACGGGTAGTATTCCGATGCCCGTGTTCAATGGATCAGGCATTGTTGAATAGGGGACAGTTTGCTCCCGATTTGGAGTGCAATGTTGTCGATCGCAAGTGTGAAACATTTCATCGGGGTGCCTTGCATTGTGTGAAAACTGGCCGACCATCGTTAGTATTAATAACCTAACTGTCCACCACATATACATATACTAACCTACTGTTTTCCCCCATCCCTACAGTGTTGGAGGTTCTGGTCAGACATGTTGTTACGATGATTACGGTGAACTGATACAAACGGCCGATTCAATGTACGGCGGACGGCCATCGCGGGCCTTTGTCTACGGTAAACATCCGTATAAAATGCGTATGATGGTAAGTAGGAGCACCTGTAGTTTCTAAACAACTAGTTAGCTAACTGTCTCTCTGTCTCTCTGTCTCTCTGTATCTCTGTCTCTCTGTCTCTCTGTCTCTCTGTCTCTCTGTCTCTCTGTCTCTCTGTCTCTCTGTCCTCTCTGTCCTCTCTGTCCTCTCTGTCCTCTCTGTCCTCTCTGTCTCTCTGTCTCTCTGTCTCTCTATCTGTCTATCTGTCTCTCTCTCTCTCTCACTCACTCACTCACTCACTCACTCACCCAATTAGATCCCGGCGCTGTCCGAATGGCTACACGACACTATGCCCTACTTTTTCTGCTGTAAATGGCAACCGAAAGAAGACAACGCCCATACCTGTCAAATGTATAACTATTGGCGTACATCCCAGGATTGTTCATCATATCAGGCACCGGCCATCGGATCAGTTTATGGTGATCCACATTTCATAACCTTTGACCGCTATAATTTTACGTTCAATGCTAAGGGTGAATTTACGCTTCTACATGTCGATAGTCCATTGTATAAGATCGGTTAGTATCATATATATATACTGTATATAATAGTATAGTTATGCATTTGGGTAGACTATTCAGGTTATGGACCGGTAATTAATTGCTAGTTTGTATATGTATTATAATATCTATAGTAGTAAACCATACATTTAATTATTTTTCTATAAAAAAATGAACAAGGCCAAATAATTGTAGATAATATTAAACTTAATTATTAATTAATTGATTAATTGTAAAATTAACTAGTTAATAATAGTTAATAGACTTAGTATGTAATAGTTGACTTATCTAGTTAATTTTTATAATTAATAATAAAAAAAATAAAATAATCAATCAATTAATTAATTATTAAGTTTAATAATATTATCTACAATTATTTATTCTTGGTCATTTAAAAAAAATTGAATGTATAGTTTACTAGATATTTAATATACATATACAAACTAGCAATTGATTGATTGATTACCTAATTAACCGATTATTATCCCAAATCCATGTACTGATTAAATACTTGAATAGCCAATTGACAATATTAACACCTAACTGTCCCCCATTCACCCACCCTTACCCGTGGTAATATAGACGTACAGGCCCGTTTTGAACAGGTACCCCGCAACCGACGTACCGATCCGTTTATCAATGCCACTGCACTGACGGCCATAGCGGCCAAAGACAACATTTCGAGTACCGTCGAGTTTCGGTTGCGACCGATTGCCGCCCGTTGGCGATACCAGATGTACGTCATTGTGGACAAGGAGTACGTTCACTGGTGGGACGAGTCGATGCGTTTGCAAAATTTCAAAGGTGTTACCCTGTATCAGCCGGCAGGCATACAAAATATGTCGCACGTGATTGCAATGTTTGATTCGGGTGCCGGTGTTGAGGTGATGTCCGATGGCGGCCATCTGACCGTCCATGTGTATGCGCCCTATCAGTTTCTGGTTAGTTAGGTTTTTTTTTAAAAAATATTGATAACTAACTAACTATTACTATTTATTAACTATTAGTAGACATCAACTATTTTTTGGGGGGGGAGGGGAAGGGGAGGGAGGGTAGGGTAGTTAGTAGTGTACTGTACGGGTATATTACTGTATAGTTAGTAAATTAGTTGAGCTAACTGACTATTACTATTTGTTAAGTATTAGTAGACATCAACTATTTTTTTGTTGGGAGGGCAGGGAGGGTAGGGTAGTTAGTAGTGTACTGTATATCATATATATTGTATATATTACTGTATGGTTAGTAAATTAGTTGAGTTATGGGGGGGGAGTTGTCTAATAGTATATTAGAGATATACTATAGTTTATATATATATATAATTATTCAATTTATTAGCTATATTAGTGAAATATTACTAATTAAATTATATTAGTACTGAATATTTATTAGTAATATTTACAAACAAATAATTAGGAAAAATACACATAAAATTTTTGTTGTTGTATTTGTATGATAAATATGACACATAAAAAATTTTAGCACATTATAATTATATAAAATCAAAGCTACCATAAAGTTTAATATATATAAATTATTATTATTATTATTACTGAGTAATATCAATACATACACACACATACACACACACACACACACACACACACACACACACACACACACACACACACATACATACATACACACACATACATACACACATCTATGCATAGATTGATAAAAAAAAGTTATCATAAATTTAGGAGATTATTGAGAGGATTAGTAATTGAATTGCTTATTATACTCATTGAGTATAGTGTATATAAATCAATTCAATTTATTATTATTATTACCGGTATATATAATTTATATATTATGAATAGCCGACAAATAAAATATATATATATAATTAATATATAGATATTTAGTATCTGATTATGAATTTATTATAACTTATATATATATTTCCAACACATATATTATGTTTACCTAACAAACAAACAAAATCATAACTCATAAAAAAAAAATTGAAAATATCTAGTATTATATTACTTAAAAATAACACACATAAAAATAATAAATATTTATTTGAATTAATTAATTATAAATAACTTATAAAATTATAACTAAATTTAGAAATATTTATTTATTTTATTCAATTCAAACTATATATTAATTACCCAACAAAATGTTTTAATCAACCAAAAAAAAAAACAAAAAATATTATACAGTATTTAGTAATAATATATTTACCATTTAATTACAAATTATTACTATTATTATTACTTAATTATTAACTATTATTATTACAACTATTACTAATACTAACAGAATAGTACGTACGGACTGTTGGGCCGTTACTCTAAGGATCCGTTAGATGACTTTACACTGCCTAATGGCCAGACAATATCGTTGCAGTCAACCCAGGAGGACATACATATGCGTTTCGGTATGGCCTACCGGGTACAGGAGCAACTGTCAGCGTTGGACAGGGATAAATCGGCCTCCTTGTTCCATCACGATGCCATATCGTTTGCCTACTACGACGACTCCCATTTCCTGCCCGATTTTGGACTACCCCCTCGGCTGCCCGACTGGGCCGAGCACTTGAGGGACGAGATGGATCAGGTATGCGCCGAATCCATTGCCTGCCAATACGATTATATACAGACTTTCGATCGGGAATATGCCAAACAAACCAAACAACACGAAGCCTATGCCCTACAGTTGGCCAATGAAGTTAGCAAAAAAGGTTGGTATTTATATTTATTGGTGTCTATGATGTCTATGATGTCTATGATGTCTATGATGTCTATGATGTCTATGATGTCTATGATGTCGGTGTCGGTGTCTATGATGTCTATGATGTCTATGATGTCTATGATGTCTATGATGTCTATGATGTCTATGATGTCTATGATGTCTATGATGTCTATGATGTCTATGATGTCTATGATGTCTATGATGTCTATGATGTCTATGATGTCTATGATGTCTATGATGTCTATGATGTCGGTGTCGGTGTCTATGATGTCTATGATGTCTATGATGTCTATGATGTCTATGATGTCTATGATGTCTATGATGTCTATGATGTCTATGATGTCTATGATGTCTATGATGTCTATGATGTCTATGATGTCTATGATGTCTATGATGTCTATGATGTCTATGATGTCTATGATGTCTATGATGTCTATGATGTCTATGATGTCTATGATGTCTATGATGTCTATGATGTCTATGATGTCTATGATGTCTATGATGTCTATGATGTCTATGATGTCTATGATGTCTATGATGTCTATGATGTCTATGATGTCGGTGTGTATCTACTGAACCGCTAATCAATTGTTTTATTTCCTCCCATCCCATCCCCGCCCACAACAACTGGATAGTTACCAGATGTCCGGCACTGCCCAAACCGTTGAATGGCCGCAAATCGGAAAACCGATACTGGCCGGGAACTATCGTACGATTTGCTTGCGACGATGGCTATCGATTGGTCGGCTACGAGGCTCGCCGATGCCGTGAGGACGGCCTATGGTCGTGGGGTGTCGACCCCGAGTGTATCAGTAAGTTATGATAAATATATAAATCAGTAAATTATATATATTAGTGACTATTGTATTGTATTTCTACTAACTATTACTTAAAAACCAAACAAACAGGTGATCTCAAGTATACGGGACGTATAGCCGGCATTGGTGTCGGTATTGTATTACCGATACTTATAGTAGTCATACTAGTTATCGGCTGTATTATCTATATGCGTAAAACAGGTGCCGACCATTATACCGGAGAAGCTGGAGTGTATGTATATGTTTACTATGATATATATATCAATAGTAGTATTAATTTTTTTATTAATTGAATTGTTTTTTTATATATATAATAATAGTCAGCAACCGTTTGTTGAATACCAGTCCAACAATAAGCCAGTGAGCGGTAGTGGCGGTGGTGGTGGAGGTACAGGTGCTGTAGGAGGTGGCAGTGGTGGCGGTAAAGTCATCAAAGAGATTGAAACGCCCGCTCGCGATGCAGAGGTTTAAGAGAGGATAGGGAGGGGTTTTTTGAGAGGGGGTTATCATACATACAAATCAAACAAAAAAAGTTTATATACTTTTTTTTATCTAACTTTAAAAAAAACAATTATATATATATGAAAACAATTATTATTAATTAATTAATTAATTAATTTTTTTTAAAAAAAATATAATTATCAAGCATTTATTATAATTATTTTTTAGTATTATTATTATTATTATCAATTGATTTTGAAAATATTCATCTAAACCATTACTTAATTGTCATTATTATATATTTAAAAAAAAATTATTATTTTCTTATATACGTATATTCAATATTATGTTTAATTAATAATTATTTTATTAAAATTTTTTGTTTGTTGTTGATTATGTTAAAATCAGTATAATCTTTATATTGTATTTATTATTCAAATTAACAAATAATTCATTAAAAATATTCAATTTTTTTTACATTTTATTATTAACTTTTAAAAATAATTTATATATCATTATTAACAAATCAAATGATATATTGAATTAGATTTATTTTTTGTTAGAAAAATAATTATACATTAAATAAAATATTGAGTTTTTTTGTTTGTTAAAAACAAATTCAATTAATTAATAAAAATAAATAAAGTTTTTTGTCAACAAAAAAAATATATTATTGTATTTTATTGCTTAACGAGACCTAAACTTATTAGTAATTATTTATAATAATTAAAAAAATAAATAATTGATTTAATTGAACGTGAAATTACTATAACTGTAATTATATTTCTGTTAATTAATAAAATTACAAAAATTATTGGATATATATTATAACAATGCAAATAAAATAATATTAAATAATTTCAGTTTATTTTATTTTTTGTTAATGTTATTTAAATTTAAATAAATAACTAATGTTTTAATCAAACAATCAATCAATCAATAAATTTTGTTTTAATACAATAACCAAACAAAAAATAAATAACGAAAAATGATATTCAATATGAAATTCATATACATTTTGCTTATTATATTACAAACAATTGGTATTAATTAATTAGTAAATTAATTGTTAATATTTTTTTAGTTAATTGATAAATAATTTTTCTCCAATAAAACAAAAAATTAATTATTAGTTTTACTGACCAAACATTTTCAAATCAATTGTCTATCACTGGATGTCTACTATGATATCTGTCAGAAACAGACAAACAATGGTCTAATAGATACAGGATTTGTCTATAGTTATAGCAAACACAGTAAACCCTATTATATAGTCAATGGTCAATACTATTGGCAATTGGATAACAATCTAACGGGTCTATGGGATAGACGGGCCAGAAAATTGTCGGACAATTTCTATCCGATCGGGTTTATCGGTAGCGATGATGATATTTCAATAGACATAGCGTTTAGTGTTGAATCATATGTCTGGTCGAGTAGTCATTGTGCATATTTTATACAGGTTTGATGGTTACACATATACTGTACATACAGCTTAAACATAATACAAATACACATACATACAAACACACATACATACAAACACACATACAAACACACATACAAACACACATACAAACACACATACAAACAAACACACATACAAACACACATACAAACACACATACAAACACACATACAAACACACATACATACATACAAACACACATACAAACACACATACATACATACAAACACACATACAAACACACATACATACATACAAACACATACATACACACATACAAACACACATAAAAACACACATACAAACACACATACATACATACAAACACACATACAAACACACATACAAACACACATACATACATACAAACACACATACAAACACACATACATACATACAAACACATACATACACACATACAAACACACATACAAACACACATACATACATACAAACACACATACAAACACACATACAAACACACATACATACATACAAACACACATACAAACACACATACATACATACAAACACATACATACACACATACAAACACACATACAAACACACATACATACATACAAACACATACATACACACATACAAACACACATACAAACACACATACAAACACACATACAAACACACATACAAACACACATACAAACACACATACAAACACACATACAAACACACATACAAACACACATAAAAAACACACACATACATACATAAATACATACATACATATATATACACACACATACAAACAAACACACACACACACACACACAATAGTTTTAATAGTTATAATGCTTTTCTATATTATTTTTAATACATAACTTTTATTTTATTTTTTATGCTATCATTACACCCATACATACTGTATATACTATATACCAACTGAATAGTCGGATAAATGGACCAACTTTTGTCTAGAATTATATACTCTATTACCAATTAAAATGTCCAAATCGGGTAATTTTACACTACCTGAGCTCAGAAACAGTTCCATAGCCTTTAGTCCATACAAGGCTCAGGTAGACACACATGTATTGTTTATAACACAATGGTTTCAATCGCAAGTCAATAATAATAATAGTGATGATGTAGTTATAGTCAAACGTAGCCATCAATTGTATGATTTCAATGACCCGAAGTTACCGATAGCTATCGGCAGCAGCAATACTACTGCCTATAGTCAGGAAATACCCGATATTGTCGACAATATTGGCGATCAGTATTGGATTATAGCTATACTAGAATCGGATGATAATGAGGGCATTGTATTTGCTAAGCACCGGGATATTGGATACTATTGTCTATTTAATAGTAGTAATCAAAATCAATCGGTAAAACAAAATTATTTTTGTGTATAATATTAATTATTTTTTTTTAAAATTTGTTTTTTTTTAAATATAACTAATTGTAGTGTAGAAATGGTAATATGAAACCAACTGTCGATTTGTTTGATTGTAAACCTACTATAAAACTACCAAAACTTACCGATGATGACATTGATATAACAATTATTAGTACTAATAATCCCGTATTAATTGATATATTGTTTGATAAAATCTACAAAATTATGGCATTTTTATTAATTGCTATAAATTTATTAGTATTTCTAGTTTTGCCAATTATTAAGTTGTATTACATTTAACTATTTTTTAATAACTTTTAAATAAATGTTATTTTTTATTTAAAATAAAATTAAACTAAAAGCATAACTATTGATATATATCGTAAAAATAGTATTAAAAAATTTATAGATTAATAATAATAAAAAATCAATGTTTTAAATGTTGTTATGATTTTTTTTTTAATAATAACAATACTGTACTATATATTGATTGATTGTATTATTATTTATTTAATAATTGTAAAAAATCTATTTTAAAATTTACTTTAATTTCTTTGATTTTGTTTTTATTATTCAATTCATCAATAATAATATTGTAATTATTTTTCAATCAATTGTTTGTTTATTAGATTTGATTTTTTATGTTAATTCACTTAATTCACAATCATATAAATATTGTATATAAAACCAAACAAAAATAATACACAAAAAAAATCTATATATGTTATATATAATATGTTAAACTCAATTATAATTATTATTATCAATAATTTTTTTTGTATGTTTTTCTCTCTATCTCTCATTTTTTTTATTAAATACAATACAATGTATTTTACATTATGTGTAATAATAATAATAAAACTTTTTTGTTTGTTTAAATTATTATTAATTGATTTATGTATGATTTTTTTTTAATGAATCAATGGATCAGCGCCTCCTCCTATCGTACACACACACACACACACACACACCCCCTACCCATCATATAGATGATTGACCAATGAATACAAATTAGTATTCAATTATAATATATATTAATATATTTAGTATCTGTAATAAAGATATTAAATCATATATCACTAAAACAGTATAAATATATATATATTGTTTGAATTTTTTTTTTTGATTTAATGATTTTTAAATCAATTTTTTTTATTCAAATTTCATATCATTGATTGACTGATTGATTGTTCACTTAATTACTTTGATACGGATATGAGTCGATATGAATCGGTAATCATCGGATCGTACGGTCGGCTGGGCTTTGGTTGTGTCCAATCAATGGCTGTAATTTCAATCAGTTTCAATTTAGACCGATAACTGTCCATAGCTTTCAACACCAGTTCATCAGTAATGTTGTCAAACACTAGACTCTGGATGACCAGTGACTGCATTGACGGCAACTTTGTTGACATCAATGACTGAATAAGTTCGGGTCCATTGTCGACGACTACTGTATTCAAACGGATATCGGTTTCTAGATTCTGAAGTCGCGGTAGATTTTGGTATAGATTGGCAAAGAACTGCCGATTGACTATTAGTTTTGTAATTTTACCGCCAATTCTCAGATGTGTTAGTTGTGGCCAACATTTCGGTGTTAACTGCAGATCAGTCATCTGTGTCGACGACAAATGTCTTTCAGCTAAATCAATGTCATTGTTGTCCAAATCATTTTCGCCAACCATATCGAGATCAAGACGTTTCAAACGATGCATTTGTTTGACTGATTTGAATGTCCGGATAAATGCCTGCAAATCAATGTCTTCATAATCGTAACAGATTTGTAGTCTTAGACGACATAATTCTAGACAATTGTCGGCAATCAGTAGCAATGGATCCGGTATTGATGGTAACGCCTGTAGATGTAATGCAGTATCCAATTGATTGAGTTTTTCCAGTCGCGAGATCTGTTCAAACAATTGTTTTGTTTTATCTTTGTTGGTCTCGTCATCAACATCATCAGTAAACGGTATATAATTGATGACCAATCGTCGGAGACCAATGTTATCGGCGATAAATTGCCGAAACTGGTCGACATATCGAGGGTCAAGCAAACTGTCGATTCTAAACGATTGCAATCCCTTAACCAATAGTTGATTACTACTGTCGTCGTCATCGGCAAACACATTGCCGATACGTTTAACTGTTAGACTGTCTAATCGGCTGAACTGTTTGAGCCATGTTTTCGGTCCGCGTATTACCAAATCGGGCGACACTTGCAACGTACGTATCATATGCTGATGACAGCCGATAGGCTATTGGTGTCCAATAGTTGGTCACCGAGTCGACTACTCCTACTAATTAGCATACAATAATCGATACGACTGAGTTGTGGCCATAGTTCCAGATAATGGCTGCCGATTGTCATCAATACTTGATTGTTGTTTTCGTACAATTTTACGGAAGATATATTCGGAAACTTTTTCATCAAATGATTGGCAAATTTTTCTTCCGGTGTATCACAACATTGACAATACCGATAGCATATATGATTGATCCATTCGGTCGGCAGATGAATACGGCTAAGACTACCGGAGCCGCACTGTTGAAACTGTTTGGACACTGACTCGTATTTAATCAATTGATCGATAGGTAGATAACTGAGTATCAATTCGGCCAAATCATCGCCGAATTGATCAAACGATTCCCGATTTCGACCATTTCGTAGATTTTGAGTCGACGTCTTCGTTATCGATGACATAACCACTGATGGATGGATTGATTGATTGATGAGTTGATTGATTGACTGTCTGATTGATTGATTGATTAACTTTTTTTTTTGATTTAATTTCTACTTATTTTGTTTTTACTTTAAATTAAAAAATATTTTTATGTATTGTTACATAATTTTATTTATATTTTTTTTAAAAAAAATAATTTCTTATAAAATAAATTATAATTTTTTTATAAAATTTCATTTAATTATTAAATTAATAAATTATTATTGTTTTATTATTAAACTATTACTAATAATTAAATTCAAATTATTTTTTCCAGTTATTAATTAGTTTTTTTTAATAATAACTTTTTTTTTGGTGTTTAAGTGTTTGATTATAAATAAAAATTATATAGTTTTGCTATTTATGAATGTTTTAACTATTTTTAAAAATTAAAAAAAAATTAAAACAAAAATACTATTATTATATTTTTTTTGTATAATTAAAAAATTTATTTTTCAAATATAACAAATCTGTTTTTATTAATTAATTTTATAATTAAATAAAATATATTACAAGTAATTTGAATACAAATTGAACAAAAATTTTTTAGATTTTTTGTAGATTAAGTTAAATTGTATTTTTTTCAATAAAATTTTAAGTAAAATTTCAATCACTATTACGACATAAACCTGGGATAAACTTTTATAATAAATATTTTATAATAGTTTATGTGATTATATATTGAATATATGATATATATTATATACAATAATCTTCAAAATGTAATTTATATAAATAAAATTATTTTTTATATTGTAATTAAACTTTTTTTTTCGCCACAATATTATAGTATATTATATATATATATATAAATGTTTAACATTATGATAAAAAATATAATAGTAAAGTCATTATATATCATAAAATATAGTTAAATGAAACAGTTTTAACATGAGTTTTATAATAATAATAATAATAATAATAATAATAATAATTGTTAAGATTATAAAATAAAATTTTAGTATAATAGATTTTAATATACAATAAAAATAATTACAGTAATAATAATAATAATATCAATAATATATGTTAAACTTTTTGTATATTATAAGATTAATGTTTATGACAATGATATAATAAAATAAAAATTTAAAATAAAATAAATAAATAAAATGTTTTTAAAAATAAATAGTTAATTATTAGAATAAACACTAGAAATATTTTTTTTAATTTTATAAAAATACTGTATAATTATTTATAATTATATAATAATTATATATATACTGTAATTATAGATATATATATATATATAGATATAATTATAAAATACTGTAATAATAACATAAATTTTAAAATATATATATATTACTGGACAAAAAATTAAAAACTAAATTAATTAATTTGAAAAATAAAATATAATTAATAATTTTTTTTTAAAAAAAATTAGTTTTGTATGAAAAAAAATCAATAGTAAACTAATTAATAAATTTAAAAAAAAATACAATTTTCAATAACAATGTGTATCGATGGCCACTATTTGTTCGGAGCCAACAAATTTCGGTAAATTTAGTTTATATTTGCGGGACAGCGACGGCAATATAAAACGGCCGCCCAGCCAATGATGGCGACCAGTAAACAGTTTGGCACACATTTTCGGCGCAATCATCGATATGAGACACTCGGGTAATAGTACGGGCATTACTTCACCGCCGGCACCGCCGATGCCGCCACTACTACGGGGCGGACCATCGTTGGCCGACCAGCCAAACGGTACGTCAACGCTGGCCACTGGTGTACCGGCATTGCAAACGTCGACCAGTTTGCCGAGTATTTCCTGGTTATTGGTGTTCAGACTTTGCTGATAGTCGTCCATAACGTCCACAACCAGATCGTATGAATCGCGAATCAGTCGCGACTCGTTTGGCAGATATGATAGAAACGATATCTCAAATTCCTGACACTGGCGTATCAGTCGGTGATAGTGAGGGGTACGGCCAGGTGTCGGGTTATAAATGGTCGGACGAAACCCCTTTTTTTAATAACCGCAAAAAAGTTACAGTTAAAAAAAGTTAAGTATTTATTTTTTATGTGTAATATTATATATATATATATATATATCAGGGTTGCGAAAGGGGGGGGTAGGGGGGTAAGGTTTGTCGAATTTTATGAAAAATTGTCGTTTAAAAATGCAATAAAAATTGTTCACCCCCCCCCTATACCCCCCTGAGATCGAAAACCTTTCGCAACCCTGATATATATATATATATATATGTAATACAATTACTGTAGATATTATATAAGGAAAACAACAATAAGAGTAAATAAAATGATAAAATAAATAATTAATTATATCGTTGTTTTTTAAAATATACTGTATATAACTATATAAAGTGTGTCTATCTATCTATCTATTTGTATTGTATATCTATAATCTGTCTGTAAGTGCAATATATATATACTGTACCACAAATAATAAAAAACTTTATATACTTTTAATACTATTATATATTTTGTCGACACAATAATACTATCAGTAATAATAATAATAATAATAATACCCTTTTTATATTTATTTGTTAATACTTAATAGTGATTGTCATTAAAAATTTAGGCACACAATAGTGTGTCTATGTGTGTGTGTATGTATGTGTGTGTGTGTGTGTCTGTCTGTGTGTGTGTGTGTGTGTGTGTGTGTGTCTATGCATGTCTATGCATGTCTATGTGTATGTGTATGTGTCTATGTGTGTGTGTGTATGTGTGTGTATGTGTGTGTATGTGTGTGTATATATATATGTGTGTGTGTATGTGAGTGTGTGTGTGTGTGTTTGCAATACTAATTTAACAACAAAATTATATATTTTTTTGAGCACAGGTATCATCATCAGCAGCTCTTGTACATCATTAACACAGGTATTAGCACACACACACACACACACACACACACACACAGTAGATAACAAAAAAAATAAATTTGGTATCAAATATCAAATAAATTATATAATTTGAGATATACTATTGTAAATTGTTTTGTTATATATTATATAGATATATATACAATATATCTATTTATATCAACTATTATACGTATATACAGTATATTTCCTAAACTACTAACCATTTATATTTCAGGTGACGTTTGTATTTCAGATAAAATTTATAACAAAAAAATAAAATAATGTACAGTTAAGTATTTAATTCATTTAAATAAAATAGACATTTAGTTAGATATTAATTAACAAACAAACAAAAATGCGTGCATTTATAAAAATTAAATTTACATATATATATATAAATATTTTATGAGTAATAGTATTAATTTAAAATGAATTAAAAATATAATTTACAACAAAATAAAAATAAAATAAAATCTCTAAAAAAACAAAACAAAAATTATAATTTATAAATATATAGCTATAATTAATATTATTATATTATTATAAAATAGCTATTATTGTATTATTATTATATATTAAATATTAAATATTGTATTATAACTGTATTATTAATATTTCTAAAATAATATTTTTTATAGCAATTAATTATTTTTGAGACATTAATTGTCAATGATAAATGTAAAAAATAAAAAAATAAAACATTTATAGATATTTTTTATACATAATAACAAACAAAAAATTATTATGTTAAATACACCTAACACTAATAAAAAAAAATTACCTAACCTTTAACCTTTTAAGGTATAGAAATAATAATAATAATATTATTATAAATAAATAGTTTATAAATAAAATATAAAGGTAAGTCTATAATATAGATATTGTTAATTATATGTTAGTTTTTTTTAATTAATTAATTAATTCATCTAAATTACTAACGCATTGATGGACAGGTATGTTACGACTACTATTACTACAACAAAAACAACACCAACAACAACAACAACAACAACAACAACAACAACAACAACAACAACAACAACAACAACAACAACAACTACCACTACTACCACTATTACCACTACTACCACTACTACCACTACTACCACTACTACCACTATTACCACTACTACCACTACTACCACTACTACCACTACTACCACTACTACCACTATTACCACTACTACCACTACTACCACTACTACCACTACTACCACTACTACCACTACTACCACTACTACCACTACTACCACTACTACCACTACTACCACTACTACCACTACTACCACTACTACCACTACTACCACTACTACTAGATTTAAAAAATGCATGTTGTTATACATACAAACAATTTGAGATGTCTGGCAGCTACCAGTCCACTTTTGCCTAATAGTTCGCTACCGCAACAAATCAATAGTTTGGTGGCAACAGTACGGCTATCGTTACCGACAACAGTGGCCGATGACGATGATGAGGACGCGGACGCGGACGAGGCCAACGACGATCCGGAGGCCGTTGTCGGATAGGTCTTATGAATGGCCGCCGCAATACTCAGGCCTTGCATTTCGGTAATCTGGTCGATGGTAAAGCCAAACTCGCCGAACAGTTCATCTTTGATGGCCTCGTATTCAATATCACTTAAATGAGGAGGTGTTGGGGCGGGGGGTGAGACCCGGGGGCATCAATTGTATTGTTTATTATTACACATAAATTTAATTTTTAATTATAATTTATAAAAAATACATACTTAATATATCTAATGTCGTCAATTTCGTCGATACCGTTACTACGGCTATAGTTAACGGTTCGGGGCTCGATGTTAGAGGTTGTCCTATTCAGGCCGGTAAAGCCCATAGACATTAGCCGTCGGGGTAGTGACCACTGTCTCTTAGTTGGTGGTTGTTGTTGTTGTTGTTGTTGGTGTTGGTGTTGATGGTGTGCCGACATTTTTTTTAAATATATATATATTAGCCGAAAGTTATTATTATTATTGATTGCAAAAAAAATATATAATTTTTTTTATATATATATATATCGATATCTTTAAAATATCCTAAAAATAAAACAAATAACAAAAACACAAAAAATTATTTATTTATTTTTTTTGATTATATTTTAATTTATTTAATTATAATTTTAATATATATATATATATATAATAATTTATTAATAATAATAATATTATTATTATTATTAATTAATTAATTAATATTAGTAGAATTATAGAAATATTTATTTTTTATATTTGCTATTTTCTATTATTATTATTATTATTATTAATACATAACTTTACATATAAATGTCAAATAGTTTAAAATAAAAATTGAATTTTTATTTTGCTATATTTGTTTGTTTGAAAATATAACTGAATTTTTTAGTTCACTAATATTATTATTATTATATTTAATATAATTTTTAAAAAAATGCTTTAAGCTAAATTTTTTGAAAAATGTATTTAAAATATTACTAATACTGTTTAGTATAATTTAAAAAAAAAATTATATTATTTAATATTGATATGACATTAAATTAAATTAAAAAATAACTAAATACAGTATATATATAAAGTATATATTTAAAAATATTAAAATGCATAAATTAAATTTTTTTAAGTATGTCTATTTGTATAAATTAAAAATAAAGTCAAAATAAAAATTTATTATTTATTTTAATGTACTATAAATTATATATATATATATTAAACTTACAATTTTTATAATAAAAAAATTTGAGTTATTGATAGAGAGATTGCAAAAAAAATATTGTTAGCAATAATAAATTTGTGTAGGCTTATTTTTATCAAACGTTAAATAGCAAAATATAATTTATATATTTTTTTTAGTTAAATTGAAGAGAAATATATATATATATATTATAGTCATAAATATATCTCCGGGCTTATGATCGATAAGTTTTTATTTTTAGAGATAAAGAGAGAGAGAGAGAGAGAGAGAGAGAGAGAGAGAGAGAGAGAATATGACAAAAAAAAATATTCAGTGATTTGCTATCAAAATCAGGTAAATATTATATATAAATATATTTCTATTTCTATATATATATATATATATGATATGAATATTTTCACAATATATTTACTTATGTTGTTTTACACTACTTATTATGATTTTATATATATATATATATTATAAAATTGAGTGCAAATATAGCATACAAATTGGTTTTTTGAAGCATAAAAAACACAACAATTGATGCAAAAGTAGATGAAGTAGAAGATGAAGAAGAAATGGTGAAGACTTGAATTTTTGAAGAGTTTTTTTGATCAAAAAAATAAATAAAATAAATATATAATCAAAAAAATTTGTTGTTTTTTATTATTATTATTACTATAAAATACAACAAAACTACTAATAATAATAAGATAATAAAGTCGTCTCACTATTTAACACAAACACTATATATATATATATATGTCTATTGAATATATGGAGGTTTAATATATAGATATAATCATCAATTGTTTGGTTAAACTATTGTTAGATATATTATTATTATTATTATTATTGTCGTTATTGTCGTTATTGTCGATCTTAATGTTGTTTATTGTAGTTATTATTATTATTAACACATAAAATAAAAATTTTATTTAATAAAAATATTTAAACAATTTTTGTTTGTGTAGTCAAACAAACAAATAATTATTATTTGCAATAAATATATATATATATAAAAAAATTTACACAAACACACACTAAAATATAGTATATATTATTATTATTATATTCAATATAAGTATTTAAGTTATGTAAGTACAGTAATAATAATAATAATAATTTTATATTGATTTTTATTATATTATACCGTATATACAGTATATATATTGTATATAAGTTTACATTTCCATTGCTTTATAATAGTTTTAATATAATAAGCTATTAATAGTGTATATAACTTATATACTGTATTATTATTATATAAAAAACTAAATATTATTCACCAGTCCATACCATACATTGCAAACATAACATAACATAAGATATAATATATATATATGTATGGCTATTGGTTTGTATAGCACAGGGATTTTAATTGGATAACCAGGGGGTGGGATGGGGTCGGGTGGGGGTATAGTAGTCTATGATTGTAGGAATTGTCTATTATATATATATATACACTTGTATTTAAAGGTCGACCTTTTATTTATTTTTTCATATAAAAGGATTAATTGCAATACAACAACAAAAATAACAGTTATTTTTATTGAATAACAAAAATCACTATCAAATCGCACAATATATATATATATATATATATATATATAAAAATATAAGTTAATAATATTACTATATTTTTAGATTTTTTTTGTTAGTACTTAATGTAGACACAAATAACAACAACAACAAAATAGATAGACTGTACCAATAAAGTCCATAAAATCAACAACAAAAAAATCATATATTTATTAATAGTTTAATATTAATAGTTATTTTTTGCACTTAAATCCCATAGAAAATCATTTGATTTTGACTTTAGTTTTATTTTATTTTTTATTTTTTTTTTTTGGTGATCAGTGAAAGTAAAAGTTAATGACAACAACAACAGTCAAACACACAGTTATTATTATTATTATTATTACCACTTATTAACAAAAATTTGATGATTAAATTAATAGTGAAAATAACATCAAATAAAAAGAGATTAACAGAGGATTGAAGCAAAAATTACTGGTAATTACTTAATAAGTTTTTTATTTTTGGTGTGCATTTGATTTTAATTGCTGATTGACTGACATACAGTACATACAGTTTATATGAGATCAATATATATATATATTTTTAGATCTAATAGTATTGTAATAATAAAATTGCAATTAATTTCTAGCAATTTTTAGTAGTAATTAGTAGTAGTAGTAATATATATATATATATATATTTGTGTGAAAATGTTAGTATCAACTATCAAATAGTTAGCACTTTAGTAGTAATAGCTTTTTATTATTATTATTATTATTATTAACAACAACAATAATAATATATTTTTTTTAAACAAAATAATAAAACAATTTAGTAGTATTAATGTACTGTATATCTACTACTACTACTACTACTATCTAATACTAGTAAAGCACTGGTAGTTTAGTTGTTTTTTTATATATTAATAGTTTAGTTAGTAGAGAGAGAGAGAGAGAGAGAGAGAGAGAGAGAGAGAGAGAGAGAGAGAGAGAGAGAGAGAGAGAGTACAGTAAAAAATACCATACAGTAGTTGATTGCAATTAATTGAGTGGCAATGCGACAAAAAATTATATATATATTAATATATAGTCATGTAATAAAAAAAAAGACTAAAACACAAAAATATAATAATTATTATTATATCTAACGTTTCTCACCAACAAAAAAATATAGCACACATTTACTGTTCATATATATATATATATATATATATATATATATATATATATGTAATGTTAAAACTCAATTTAAAACATAACATTTGCTGATAACCATAGAGAATATTCTCTATATTGATGTGTGTGTGTGTGTTAGCAAACTGGGAACAGTATGTTTTTTACCAGTACTACACACATACACACTCTGTGTTTGAAATACACAACAAAAATTATAACAGAGAGAGAGAGAGAGAGAGAGAGAGAGAGAGAGAGAGAGAGAGAGAGAGAGAGAGAGAGAGAGAGAGAGAGAGAGAGAGAGAGAGAGAGAGAGAGAGAGAGAGAGAGAGAGTTATAATACATACAGATTCTGTATTACAGAATATATTGTATTGTACTGTAGTTTTAAAACGCATGACAGTCTATAGCGCACAGGTAGTATACACTATGTATGTATGTGTGTGTGTGTGTGTGTGTGTGTGTGTGTGTGTGTAGTTATAACCAACAACAACAAATTAAACCTTACCTTAACGTTTTATAGAGTACTAGTATTTTTATTTTCAAAAATATATATATATATATCTATAGATGTAGTGTAAAAAAAATTATTTATCATATTTTTCTTTAGAAATACATATAGTTTCGTAACATTGATGTAAACACATGATATATCAATTGAGTTTTAGTTGTTTAGTTTGTTTTTGTTTTGTTGAACAGATAAAACACTGGTTTTTAGACATATACCAAAAAATAATCTACAATATTGTATACCTGTATATAAAGTATTTTTGTTGTATATATATATATAGTATATAATACCCTGTAATCCTCTAACTATCTATCTATCTATCACATACACACACACACACACATACATACATACATACATACATACATACATACACATTGTTACTAACAATTGTATAGACTATCTATAATATAGAAAGAAAATCCTGGTTTATCATTGCTTTATATAATAAAATAAATATTGACTAAAAAATAATAAAGAATAATCAATTATATTATAAAATCCTAAATAAATTTTATTATTATTATTATTATTATTTGTGTTTTATTTGTAGAAACTTATGTATTTACAGTATATAAATTAAACATTGTGTTTATATATGTATGTGTGTGCATATGTGTGTATGTGAGTGTATGTGTGTATATGTGTGTATATGTGTGTGTATGTGTGTGTGCATGTATGTATATGTCTATATATGTTTGTATATGTATATGTTTGTGTATGTATGTGTGTGTGTATGTATATATATATATATATATATATATATGTGTGTATGTATGTATGTATGTATGTATGTATGTATGTATGTGTGTGTGTGTGTGTGTAAGTTTATAAGGCATAAATAAATAATACAAATTATTTTAATAAATTTTTGCTGACATAAAATTTAGAAAACAAAAAAAAACAAAAGCATAATTTAAAATTTTTAATTAAATTAATGTTATTTAAGTTATTTTTATAATATAATACTATATTTTTTCTCTACTCATAATTATTATGTACTAATAGTTTTATACACTATTTATATATATATTAAATTTATATA